GTCATTGCGAATCAGCATTTGGCTTAATTTCCTCATAGTTGGTCTTTTATTAAAGCTGAATAGTCATAGAATAATAAACCATGAAGAAATATTAAAAAATAATTGGCTTAGGCTATGAAAAACACTACTAAAGTCAATTTTTTTAACAAAAAAATTTTCAAGTTAAAAATCAAGCGTCATTTGTAATTAAACGGCCTACAATAACGCAAAACGTGCTGAAATAAACCATCTGGAGAATATATTTTTCTTTCCAAAACGCTGATTATTTTTTAAAAACTTTTCAAACAGTTCCGTAGAAAATGCACTTATGCGGCAGAAAAGCGGTACTGGCGTGGGTGCCTACAGGCCTCTACCACACCATTCAGTACACATAAATGGCTTAGTTAATGTGATATAATAACATTTTTGATACATTATATTGGTTTTATTAACGAACAAATATTAATGCAATAAGTTAATTGTAAAAAAAAAAAAAATTTTTTAAAAAATTATATTTTTTTTTATTTAATCTTCTTTATTCTACACGTAGGTCGTTTAAGAAGACCTTGCTTGTAAAAATGATATAATTATAATAATAAAACTTAATTAAAAAACTTTGCTAAATATCTTGATTTTTTTTTATTTAACGTTTGCAATTTAACACTGTGTTTTGTATATTTACTGATTCTTAAAGGTAATTAAAATTTATATATACTTCCCAGGAAATGTGTCGTATTAATACCTGTTTTATAAACTAAAATAATATATCCCTAATCTGAACTATATATAATGAATAGCTGTTGGGTTGTATAGTAAAACTCATATATCACTAATTAAAAAATTAATTTTTATTTCCTTTATTTTGTGCGGAAGCTGGACTATATCATAAATAAATAGGAAATTTTATTATTGAATGAATTATTCTCTTTGCACAAAGAAAGATAGAAACGGTGACGCTATAAGTTCTTCTATAAGCCAGAACTGATTGTTTGGATTTGGTCTTGAAATGAGGAAAAAGGCGAAATTGAACCCGAAAACTGGAAAAATACATTAAGCGAACGAGAAAGGAAGTTCCAAAACCTCGGAAAAGATAAAAAGTACCAGTATCCATTATATGGCTAAACGAATGTATAGTAGACAGATAAAGAGAATATTTCAAGATGCCTTTAAAAGGGGGTCAATTTAAGTTTGGATGATATTAAGTGGACGATGTAGGTTTATTATGGTAAAAACCACTTTATTTTCGATTGCTGAAGGTTCACATCGGGACTATCATCACTTTGAAGCAGGATATAGAGAGTTATATCGAGAAAGTTATAGCTCATAGCTCTCCTTCTGCTTAGTGCATTTGCAAACGATTTTTTAAGGAATCTAAAAGGAAAACCTGCTTTTCTGAAAGACAATTAGATATTAGCACAATCCAAATAGTAAGGCACTAAGGAGATAGAGAGATATTTTTCGTTGTATATAGACTTCTCTATAACCTGCCTTAAAGTGAAGCCAGTCTCAATTTTCAACTTCTCTTCCAATGTGCAACTTGAGTTTCTCAATCCAAATCGCTCTGGCAATCGACAATATTTCTTATTCCAGCTTCTACGATTCTTGAGTATAATTTCTTTGGTACACTAAACAGAAATGGATCTTGATGGGTATTACTCAAGAATCGTAGAAGCTATATAGAGAAGTCTATATACAACGAAAAATATCTCTCTATCTCCTTAGTACCTTACTATTTGGATTGTGCTAATATCTAATTGTCTTTCAGAAAAGCAGGTTTTCCTTTTAGATTCCTTAAAAAATCGTTTGCAAATGCACTAAGCAGAAGGAGAGCTATGAGCTATAACTTTCTCGATATAACTCTCTATATCCTGCTTCAAAGTGATGATAGTCCCGGAGTGAACCTTCAGCAATCGAAAATAAAGTGGTTTTTACCATAATAAACCTACATCGTCCACTTAATATCATCCAAACTTAAATTGACCCCCTTTTAAAGGCATCTTGAAATATTCTCTTTATCTGTCTACTATACATTCGTTTAGCCATATAATGGATACTGGTACTTTTTATCTTTTCCGAGGTTTTGGAACTTCCTTTCTCGTTCGCTTAATGTATTTTTCCAGTTATCGGGTTCAATATCGCCTTTTTCCTCATTTCAAGACCAAATCCAAACAATCAGTTCTGGCTTATAGAAGAACTTATAGCGTCACCGTTTCTATCTTTCTTTGTGCAAAGAGAATAATTCATTCAATAATAAAATTTCCTATTTATTTATGATATAGTCCAACTTCCGCACAAAATAAAGGAAATAAAAATTAATTTTTTAATTAGTGATATATGAGTATGAGTTTTACTATACAACCCAGCAGCTATTCATTATATATAGTTCAGATTAGGTATATATTATTTTAGTTTATAAAACAGGTATTAATACGACACATTTCCTGGGAAGTATATATAAATTTTAATTACCTTTAAGAATCAGTAAATATACAAAACACAATGTTAAATTGCAAACGTTAAATAAAAAAAAATCAAGATATTTAGCAAAGTTTTTTAATTAAGTTTTATTATTATAATTATATCATTTTTACAAGCAAGGTCTTCTTAAACGACCTACGTGTAGAATAAAGAAGATTAAATTAAAAAAAATAATAATTTTTTAAAAAATTTTAATTTTTTTTTTTTACAATTAAATTATTGCATTAATATTTGTTCGTTAATAAAACCAATATAATGTATCAAAAATGTTATTATATCACATTAACTAAGCCATTTATGTGTACTGAATGGTGTGGTAGAGCCCTGTAGGCACCCACGCCAGTACCGCTTTTCTGCCGCATAAGTGCATTTTCTACGGAACTGTTTGAAAGTTTTTAAAAAATAATCAGCGTTTTGGAAAGAAAAATATATTCTCCAGATGGTTTATTTCAGCACGTTTTGCGTTATTGTAGGTCGTTTAATTACAAATGACGCTTGATTTTTAACTTGAAAATTTTTTTGTTAAAAAAATTGACTTTAGTAGTGTTTTTCATAGCCTAAGCCAATTATTTTTTAATATTTCTTCATGGTTTATTATTCTATGACTATTCAGCTTTAATAAAAGACCAACTATGAGGAAATTAAGCCAAATGCTGATTCGCAGTGACCAAAAAACTAACTAAAGTCAAAGTCGTCAATCCGCCATCTTTGGACGCCATTTTGGAGCAGTGCGTTCACTTTTTTTTGTGGGAACATTGGCTTTTTTTTAATAAATAGTTACAAGGAACACAACGATATGCAATTTATAGGGATGTGGGGGGGGGGTGCACGGTAAGGGGGTCTGGCCCACCGTGTATATGTTTTACAAGGATCTATTTTTAAATATAACAACTAAATTAAAATTAGTTTGCAGGATCTTGAAAATGGCTCCTGAAGCCGAAACATCGAATAAATAATACAGGATGTAAAAACTGTGTACATTTGGTGACTTTTGGCTTAATATTTTATAAAAACTCTATTTTTATACTATAATCTCTAGTTGGTTATGTGTCTAATTTGCAGTTCGATAACGCCTTAATGGAGAAACCTTATCTGGTTTGTTATCACAGCTGATTGAGATAGTAGAGGCAGTAATTAGAATTTTTCCTAATTATAATTGTCTCTCTCCTCGCGCTGGCTCATTACCGCGTATAGGGAGCGTCCCACGGATGGCGGATGAAGCGATGGTCCTTGGAAATTCTTTGCAAGTTCCTCCTGGCTAAGTCCGATGGACTCGCTGACCAACAATGAGAAGTGCCCTCCAGACTTGCTGGAGGCCGGGCCCACCAGACTTTGCTGGAGGATGTGACGTAGGATTGAACGCCCTACTCTCATATCTTTAGTTCTCCATACTCCATAAATAGTCATGGATCTCGTAAGAGACATGTACAAAAGTATAAACAGATTACGTAAATGTTTAGGGTCCGTCACGTCTGGAATTAGGGATGAAAATAACAATATTCTGACCGATCCGGTTGACATATTAAATAAGTTTAAGAGCCACTTTGACAGTATTAAATACGGGAAATTATGATCTGTGTTCTCCTTCTGAGTACCAGAGTGCCAAACCGTTAATAGAAGAACCGAGTAAAGAGGAAGTTGAAGGAGCTATCTGAAAATTAGAATCTTATTAAGGCATGCGGGGAAGCTGGAGTTTCTAAAATGCATCTTACGCTTAAAAAGATCTTGGTGAATGAGAAATTACCTGAAGAATGGAAAGAATCTATTCTTATTCCAATTCACCAAAAGGGTCCGAGGACGGATTGTAATAACTATCGAGGAATTTCACTCCTTCCGGTATGTTATAAAATATTCACTTTAACCTTAACAAGTCGAACCAAAGAATACGCCAAGGAAATTATCTTTGACTACCAATCCGGATTTAGACGGAATCGTTCGACTATTGATCAAATATTTTCTTTATGGCAAATATTGGATAAAAAATTAGAAAACGGTGTTCTTCGCCAGCTGTAAATAGATTTCAAAAAGGCTTACGATTCTATAGACCGTCAGAAACTGTATAATATTCTAATTGAGCAGGACATTCCAAAAAAAAAATAGTAAATCAAGTCAGAATGTGCTTGACGGAAACACTCAACAAAGTTAGAATCGGGAATAATTTATCCGAAAAGTTTGAGGTCCGTTCGGGTTTAAAACAGGATGCTCCCTTTCGTCTGTCCTGTTCAATTTGGCATTATAACATGCCATTAGGGAGGTGATGCGTACCGAAAAAGGGTTGGATCTGGGTGGAACAACATCATTTGGCTACGTGGATGAATTTGTCCTGTTAAGCGAAGATACGGACACAATAAAACTAAATACGACAACGTTAATGAAAGCCGGTAATATACACTAGGGCTCGAAATATACACGGATAAGACAAAATATATGGTTAGCTGCAAAAAATGGTGATGTTGATATAGAAGGTAACATGTTTGAACAGGTAGAGTAGTTTAAGTATCTAGGATCTATGATAAATAGAAAAAACGAAATTGAAGAGGAGATTAAGGTTAGGCTGAAGGTGGGAAATGCTTGTTATTTTTCTGTGACAAAACTACTTAGCTCGCCCATCTTGTCCCGGAATTTAAAGACTAGAGTCTATAAAACCATTATCCTACCTACAGTTCTTTATGGATGCGAGATGAGCAACGTCTTAAGGTTTTTGAAAATAAAGTATTGCGTAGAATATTCGGACCGAAGAAAGATGAGTAACTGGAGACTTCAGAAGGTTGCACAACGCCGAGTTGCGTGAACTGTATCCAGTTAATATAATTTAGGTGATTATATTGCGGAGAATCAAATGGACTTGTAAAATAGTTGGGCTTAGTAACGAAATAATTCCTAAAAGGTTGATATTTGCTGTACCGAATGGTAAACGTCGGAGAGGTAGACCGAAGCGAAGGTGGGAAGATTGCGTTAAAACCGATCTGAAGGGACTGGGTTTGGATGGCGAACGGTGGAGGGAGGTGTGTAAAAGCGATTGGTGATGTCGGGTTCGCTAAGCCTTTTATTATTATTGTTATTATAATTGTCTCTCTATTTTTTTTCATCTTTTAAATTAATAATATGATAGACAGTGTAGATTATATAATGTTTGTAACTGAGCAATTGTTTCATTTCCCCCTTGGATACTTACCCGATCGGTATTTTCTCTCGAGTACCGTCCATCGCCAGAGCAATAGAATAAGACGTGGGGGTAGCCGTTAATGGGACTTCGGCTCTAGAAGGAGTGGTCGGACGTGTATCGTTAACTCTGAGAAACTGCCACGCTGGGTAAGTCTAATCGACAATTAGTATTAAAAGGAGTCTACACCCTTTAATTTATTTTATTCTTAAAATTTATTATATATTATATATAATTTATTATTACTGTATATATATATACATATACATATATATATAAATATTATATATATATATATAATATATATATATATATATATATATATATATGTATAATAAAAGTATATATAATAAAAAACTAATCAGTTTTTAGTCATATTTAATGCTGTAGATGTTGTTAATACCAGTTTTTACACAGTACTAGACTCAAGATCTGACATTGTTAATAATACCATTAAAGTTTATGTATTCGTTTGACGCAAAATTTAACGTTTTTTAAATTATTAAAGAATACATATTTTCGCTTTGATGAATCGTTTAAAAGTTATATGTGAAAAAAATATCAAAAAAATCAATCTTTTTTTTGGCTGTAAAAAGTTTTCCCTTGGTGCCCAGCGTTAGCAATTTTGTTTTTTACATGTCTAAACCCATATATACATGTATAAAAAATAAAAAACCTTTCTCACATTTTTCTCAATGGATTTCCCGTTTCGATTCTCAAATTATGTCTGGAATGGCAGACAAAGTTCTTTTTACTCAGAATAACACACACTTTCGTAATTTACAATCAAACATGTAATAACTTAAAAAATGTATCGGTTATTAATTATAAATATTAATTTTATAATAGCTCTTATGAAATCATATACATTTTATTTTATTTTTATTACAAACAAATTTAAAACCATCGATAATGATATTTTGAACACCATCGATACTTTCTCTCATTTTCCGATGAATAAAATACGTAATTTGTTCATTCATTTTCAAGATAATATCAACAACTCCTTGAGGCCGTCTTATATGGGTACTCATTGATTCTAACTTTTATTTAATTTTAAACTTTAGTTCATTTAACGGTGTTGTGTTTGTTTATTTGCTTAGATTAAAGAAAAAATAAAGGATGGTTATATGCAGTTAAAAGAATTATATAAAATTTTAAGTCTTATCTATTTAGACAAAATTAAAACAATGAAAAGGAAGATTTAATATTTAATGTAAACTTTTTTTTATTGTTTTATTTTGAGTTATTTTTCGTAACAAATAACTACAGAACCTTATTTTCTTTATGCTCAATATAATTCTTAAAACTAAATTTGAGGGCATGTCTAATAATAGGAGATATTAGTACATACCTAGAAATTGTCCGAACATTTATACATACAAAAATAATTTTAAATATATTTTAACTACCTTCGGGCGGTCCTGGGCGGTTCAAATTAATATGAATTTGTCTTTAACGATGACTGCTAAAAAGTTGTGATGAATAAATTTTCCGGAGGATATCAGAGGTGTTTTTTAATCCCAGTGTTTGTAAAAATTTAATTAAAAAATAACTATTTTTGTTAACAAAAAAGAAAAAAGATTCGAAGAAAAACAAGTTTTTAGAAATGATTATATTTTTTTTACCTAAACAGAATGACAGTAAAATGTTTATAATGTTTCAAGAAAAAATGATCAACCATCAGCTCAAACCAAGCAATTACAAAACCTACAAATCACGCGAAATTCCACAAATGAACTAGGTTTCCAATTGAACTATTTATACTACAAACGGTATAAAATGTTCATTCTTCCAACAAAAAATATTCTCACAAGCTGCCTAAGGTATCATTAAACATTAAACAGTTTATCATCTAGTTTTAGAGTTCGTCGTAAGCGGTTGAACAAATCCGCTACCTAGGACTCCACTTGTGTAAACGTCTCACTTGGAATCCACATACTAGACTGAAACGAAAAGAAACTGCTAGACGTTTCCGACTGCTCCAACACTTACTAGACAAACGCTCTAAACTTTCAATTAATTACAAAATGCTCATCTACTTAACCATAATAAGACCTATATGGACATACGGAGTTAAGCTTTGGGGTTCTACCAAACCATCGAATTCCTATCTTATCCAATACTTACAATCCAAAAACCTTCGTAAAATTGTTAATGCCCCATATTTTGCCACAAATAAAACCATTCATAAAGACCTTAATGTTTCATATGTCGCTGATTTAGCCCGAGGCAGATATCTATCCTTTCATGATAAACTCCAGTCCCATCCGATTCCACTTGTTTCCAGCCTTGCTTCTTCCTCGATTCCTGATAATACTCCTAGGCGTTTGAAAAGAAGATGGCCTCTTGATCTTCTCATCTAGAATTAAATAGGGAGTGCTACCACTGGGCAGTATCTCTTCAAGTCTGTTCATATCATTATTTCCAATGTGTACATTTTTACTAGTTGTATTGTTTATACAGTTGTAAATTTCATTAAATAAATAAAATAGTTTTTAGAGTTATGATATTTTTCTTTTGCCAATTTCGTAGGTTTTCCATTAATCGAACCACTGTGAACCACCTCGCCACTATGCCACTATATAAATATAGAGGGTTTAAAAAAAAAAAGGTTTATTTATAAGTAAATGAAAAATTTTTTTTCTCGTGAAAATCAAGTTTTTCAACTTTTTCGACTACATAAAGAATAGTAAAAGTACATTATTACCATCATTAAGGTTGATTATCATTTAAGTTAATTCAGACTGATTACTAAATAAGTTTCCGACGGGATAGGTTGTTACGTATGTCTGATCAAGGTCTGCACAAATGATTTAAGTGAACATCAAGTGCACGTACTAATAAATTTGTATAAATTGAAATAACATACATTTCTGTGTGTATATATATATATATATATATATATATATATATATATATATATATATATATGGATAGATATTTTATATACACAAGAACAAGCATTTTTCGCTTTAATTTCTCACAGCCCATACATATAAAGCCGTCACGTTAAGTGATTCTTATCTGTTACTATATGTTATGTTTCTGGGCTTGTAAATAAATGATTGACAGTCATTTTTCTTTAGAACGCACTCTGATGATGCTGTCTGATTCGCTAAAATTAATATAACATATGAAAAAGTTATATTAATTTTAATACATATTTTACCATGACAACCCACATTTTTCCATTCCTTGTTCAGGCGATGATATATATAATTTAGTGGGATCGGCAGGAATATAAGATACTGTAATATAAGGGATCATTCTTACTATAATTTTTCGAAAATAAAAATAATCATCTACGAAATTTACGAAATACGAAATCTCACAAATAAAATAAATAAATATACTTTATTTATCGATAAATGGCCTGGGTTTCCAATTTCCTCAGCTATTTTATAACGGTATTAAAATTGTATAATAAAATTTTATTAAATTAGCCGAAGTCCGGATTAGATTTATTCTGATTGCTTCATTTATTAGACTAGAAGTTCTTTTTATTTGTAGAATTGAGTTGCCGGAGCATATAACACAATATTTTCATTTTATAAATTGAATTTTACCAATAAACGTTCATCTATGATAAAAAATATATATAATAATTATGGACTCATTATAAACATAACATAAACGCATTTTTTTTTGCATCAACAGTTTTATCATTTTTCTGTTTTTTAAAACTGTATTAATTTTTTTTATTTGCACTTAGCATTTTTTTTTTTTTTTTTTTTTTTGTCCTTCCCTTCCTCGCCGTTAAGGCTATACGGGATTTTCCCGGGCCAGGGGGTGTGGGCGGGGATTTAAAAGACTTCCCCGGCACCGGGACGCGAACTCGTGACTATTTTTATATCTTTGATTCATATCTCAGGTTGCCGGGCAACGGCGGTGCAGTGCACATGCTTTAGCCCATTCGGCCACCCCGCCCACATATTTGCACTTAGCTATATATGAATGTATAGTAAAAGAAAGTATTGCAATAGTGAAAATTTTGGAATCTATTTTCAACGAAAATACACGTTTTGAGGTCTCTTGAGTCAAAATAACCAAGTCCTGCCAAATGCTTTGTGTGTGTGTAAACAGTATAAACTAGCTCAAAAATGAAATGTTGTGCGAAAATGACATTGCATATTTATGTTTTTTATATGCTAGGGATGTTACCGCAAATTTTTCGTCAAAATCGGCTAACCGGAAGTGGCACTTTATATAATGGACTAAACACATTCTTACGATTTTCTCAAAAACGGCTCTATCGATTTTGATTAAGTTCATCACATCAGTGTAAAATTAAGCAGTTTTAAATTAAATGTAGTCTTTATTCTGATTAATGTTCTCTAACAGGGCTGAAATGGATAATTTTCATTTTTAGCTTCCTCTAAAGTACCTTTAATTTTTTTTTATTATAAATAAATTGATCATTTCACATTAATCTCTAGTATAAAAGATAGATAAATATAAAATATGAAAGAATTTAATAATTAACTAAAGCTGAAATAAGAGATCGTAACGGAGAATAGTTGTAAAGGAGGAACCAAAGAAATATGAGTGCACACGTGCTCGCCCGAATGAACGTGTTAAAACACGCTTCCATATGTAACATGAGCTTAATATAATACGGACTCCGACAATATTATATAAATATACTTATGTGGTTTTCATAAATGCTATTGTTGGTATTATTTAATATTTAATTATATCGGTTACAGCGATATAAATATTAAAATTTGTATATATAAGATACAAATATAAATTCCCACAATGAAATATAAATAAATATAGCGTCTATAATTTTTACTTTCACTTGCCCTTTGCCTGAAAATACCTTTTTCTGAGAGGGTGGTTAGTGAAAGTTGTGTGATCCGCACACCGCATCAAATTTTTTAGATTAATAAGATTTTTAACAACCATAATAAACATTCAGTTATATTGTGATGATAGCATTAGATTATGTATGCTACCGCACTGTTTATATGGGAATTCTACATGACCATTCATGAGTCAAAATAGTAGTGAATATTTCAGTTTGGACATCGACAAGGAAACACAACTTCAAGGAAATATAATGAAATCACCTCCGTCTGACGATGGCGCAAGTGTCCACATAACTTAATCAACTTGTTCCAAGAGGAACCCGGCACTTTGATCA